TTTCTTACTAAAGAAGTATTATATAATTTTTGTTACATAAATTCCACGATGAATAACTGTAAACTGTCATTAATACATAATAAGTGAAACTGTCATCTTCTCAGCAACTTTCATATTTATTCAGTTTAGTCATCTGTATTCAGAAAACAGAGAAACAGACGACTTTCGCTGAATAACGAGATACTCGTTCACAAAACGGATCAAAAGCTATGCTGATTGAAAGGTGAACGGGATGATAAGTAGAAAGTCTTGATTCTCACTTATTGAAGACCGGAGATGCCTAATGATTCCTGGAATCTAGAGCTCGTCTCTTGAACGCAATCAATATTGTTTTTCAATTTAGCACGTCACGTGCAAGCGCAGTCTGGATTTGCAGATCTTTGTACATACATACAAGCTAATCGTTTAATTTGTTATCTTACACAGTTTATTAAATATAGAGAAACTTATTCGTTTCTGTTATCCTAGACAACAATTGACGGTCACTCGTTTTTTGCTTGACTTCTTCGAATTCCTCAATCACATCGAATCCATACTAAATACCTGAAGTCGAATTTCGAATTTCGAATCTCATTGTAATTAAATATAGATTTGAATGTAGATATTTGTTTTTAATGAATCCATTAAGTCAAGCAAGAATCACGATTCTTAATTATAATAGGTAATGATTGATGATCAAACCACGAAACAATACATATTCCTCTTCGCTCCAGTAGTTCATTAGTCCATTCTGCCCGTATACTTTTAGTAAATCAAACAGGTAAAAACATCACACGAATAACCATAAGCTCAGTGGCGGTCGCGGTGCAAATAAAATTGGTCCTCGTTTCGCGATCCAATCCTGCAAAACTGTCGTAGTTACCACAGCGTTTGTACGAAGCACAGCAATGATACACCGAATATAATCGTTCACGGAGGCGCCTCCCCAACAATTTTTACCACGCGCACCGGGTCTCGATTCCCTTTTCTCTCGTCCTTTGTTACGAGCGCGAAGGGTAAGTCGAGCGGGTCGGTATAATACAATGGAAGATAACGTTGAGGGAAGCTGCGAAAATAAGAAAGAAGCCTGTTCGAGCAGCGGGTCTCGAGGGATGCTCGCTGAGGCGTTCTGTATCGATCTTCCTTAACCATTGATCGATGAATACGTTCACGGCTGGAGACGCGAAAGGGCCATCGTTGATAAGACACGCCGGTTTCCTCTTTCAGAAAACGTGTCGCCGGGACAATTTGTCTTTGGCACGAAAACCTTTCTCGACGTTAATCGTTAACACATTCACACGGTTTAACAAACTACAAATTATGTACAGAAAATTTTTTTTATCAACGTCTACACGATTTTCCGAACGACGCCTGTCCGTACGAAAATAAGAACCCCTCGACGATATCTCCTCTGGAAAAACTTTCTTTTACGTGGCTTTTCCGGTATTTTGACCTCCCTTTGAACAGACTAGCGTTTGTCAACATCTGAAACCCGCCCATTCTTCTGTCACAAGCAGGGGCCAACTAAGCCGCGTTCTCCTTCTTGAAAAATAATGGTGGGTCGAGGGACGCTCAATTTCTCCCAGCGAATTGTCAGTCGCCCAGTGTGGGGACGATGTCCAAGATCAGGTAGAATTAATCTGGCAAACGGAACTATCAAGGAACGCACGGGAGATTGTCAATTTGTCCAAATTCGATGAATGATCAAATTCAATTGATCGATTCTCGTTAATCGCTCGGGAGCAGGAAGAGAAAAGCCGTTCTTATCTCGTCGTTTCCACTTCGTTGATCACCTTCATTTATTTTACACTTGTGTCAGTAGGGTTAATTGCGTGCCATTCTTCATCGCGTTCTCCCTGTGGGTTTGATCCTTCGAATCATTGCCTATGGTAATATTCGATCGTGACGTCATGGTCACGGTGGTGGTCGATGTTTTACTCATCAGCAACCCCCTCTCTGCGTCCTCGTCCTCCAATTCCAACCTTGAGTGACCGGTCGCAGCTAGTCGATTCGACTGCAGTTTCTCAGCATTAGCTTTGTTCCGTCTTGGAAATACGCTGTTCTCGATGTGCAACGTAGCGTTCACGTCTTTGCCAGCGGCGCAGGTGCACGCCTTCATAAAACTCTTCTTGAAGTTGTCGCTGAGGAACGCGTACAGTATAGGATTCATCGCGCTGTTGCTATAACTCAGGAAGCCAGCCAGTAGGAAACTGGTGATAGTGATCTTGTTCTGACACTGCTTAGGCGGTGTGTAGATCAGAGCCACCTGCATCAGCCAGTAGGGTAGCCAGCAGAGAACGTAGACGGTGATCACGGTTAACACCAGTTTAGTTACCTTGCGATGGGACCGCTTCTTCTCCTTCGACTTGTTCTTCGGGCCGACCGTCTGCAGTTTTCTGATCACCAGGAAATAAAAGATCAGGATCAATATCAACGGGATGGCGAATCCGGTGATGAAGCTGTACAGGGTGAAAGCAGTGTGACCGCCGCGGTCTGTGGGCCAGTAGATGTTGCAGTTGATACCCTTGTCTGATTCCATCGCGTTCGCGTAGAGAAATATGGGGATCATGAAGCCGACGCTGGCTGTCCAGGCTGCGACTGAGACCACTTTCGAAATGCACGGTGTACGAATTTTCGGCGATGATATCGGATGGCACACTGCGATGTACCGGTCAGCGCTCATTATCAGCAAGAAAATGCTACTAGTGAACTGGTTGATGCTGGTCGTGGTCATGTAAGCTTTGCACATGATCTTTCCGAATATCCAGCTGCGCAGGCTCATCGTGGTGACCAGAAATGGTATACCTATTAAGAAGCATTCGTCGGCGATCGCCAGATTCACGATGTACATGTTGGTAACCGTTTGCATTTTCGAGAACCGCAGCACCACGTAAATTACGAGAGTGTTGCCTAAGAGGCCGACGATGCAGACGATGGAGAACAGGATTTGATTAAGCACCGAGATCACTGGTAAATCCGCCTCGCAGTTCTGGATCGACTCCTCCTGGCTCACCAGGGTGTAGTCGCTGACGGTCGTCGGGCTCATCATCGTGACGTTCATTTTGCCTTAAGATTTTTCCCTTGCACGAGAGTTTTTTCTTTGGCCCTCGTAAATCACGAAGGTTCCCTCCCTCGACACGACGGATCTCGCAATCACTCAAGAAATTCGCGATTTTTCTCTTCACCTTTCCTGAAATCCTTAGACTGTCCGCCAGTTAAATCTGCGTTGTTTGTATCCAGTAGTGAACTGTTGGACACGGGTCTGGCTGCGTCGATGATACGGTGAATGGGATCGACGTCATTTCGTAAAACGATCGCGCTCCCGGGCATGCGTTAATCCGGAAGTCACCAGAGGTATTCTTCTCTTTGGTCTCCAGATGGAACAAATCTGGAACAAAGGAGGAGACAAGTTTTCAGATTCTGTCGATTCAGAAACGATTAGGACGGCTGAATGAAGACCTTTTTATGGTCGTTATACTAACATCCCTCCTTGCTCCCATGTCGATTAAACTAACGCGTTAACCTAGTTTCGCGTGGTATAAATCTGCGAGAATATCTGAGTCGTGATTTTTGACTCGGAGTTCCGTGAAATTTTTAAATTTCCCAGGGTCTGATTCTTGGGAACTTTTAAATTAGAAATCTTTTGTCGCCCATGGAAACTAATTTCAACTCTATTATTGTTAACAAAGGAATCGATTTATGTTGAGTGTATCGACTTTATCAGATGAATTGTAACAGATCATTTCAGAAGGCGCAAAAGCGTTTGGAATACACTCGTACCTTTTTCCTGTTAAATTCTGCGATTGCAGTTTTCGAATTTCTTTCCTCTCATTAAACAATAACAAGTAATACCGCAACGCTCACGAAATAACAATTATTATTTCGAGGATTGCGTATGTTTATACATACTAACATTAAGCATTCGAATATTCCACGTAATTAATTAATTAACCATGCATTAAAATGTTTGTACGTTGCATTGCATATTGCTGCAACCGGCCAGTTTTTCATGGCCTGCATGTATTATGCAGCCCATCCACAATTCAAACCTGAAACGCAATCGCTATGCATTAAATATCACGTTTGCATAAACAGACACACGGGTGTACGCTGCTAAATTTCATCTTGATTAAGCAGAAGCTAATATAATATTACATCATCTGCCTCAATCCAAAGGTTTACTAAATTGAATTTCATGATTGAATAATAACAAATACGTATTTAGTGCGAATCATGCTTTTGTACAAACTAGTTTTAAGAGCTTTATTTCAAGGCCATTAGTTTCATTGTGGATGAACGCGTTGAGGGTGTATGAAAATCGTCGACAGTGTTTTAAATAGAGTTATGTACTTTTTACTGCTGTTACAACTTCAATTATCCTTTATAACAATCAACTGACTTTTGACCACTCCAAGTACTCTCGAGAACAGCGCAATAATTCACTCTACGGGCTCCACATCTCTCAGAGAAATCCGGTAGTTGCGTATAACACTGGCAAACTTCTCGAGGATTCGAGGGATATGGATTTGAGGGTGGAAACCGGAAAGGCAGATTTCGGTGATCCGTGTTGACCCGTGATTCGAGAGTTGCAACGTTTCGAGGCTGACCGCGGACTTCTCCGACTGTTCGTAAGCCGGATGGGTGAAGAAACTCGGAAACTCGTCGGCGAATTACACCGGCTACTCCCTGGCTGGCTCGGAAGTTTATGGGAAAGAACGCAGACGACTCCCTGTGGTGAGAACAATGGTACACGTTCTTTATCTCGAAAAACTATCGTTATCCAATTTGCTATGTACCGCGCTTATTTATTATTATATAAATGAGAATATCGTCCGAAGTAAAAATTTTCGGAATAATTTATAAACTGAGAGTTGTACAGTTTTATTTATGCAAGAGATAAAAGGTAATCAAAATTATGGTTGATCTAATTCAAGGCACTCGGGATCTTATCAGAAACAAGTTTGCAATGGCTACAATTTTATGATATAATTGGGTTCCTCTAATTACGGACAATACGAGATAAGAGTAATAACGGTGCGCGAGATAACGTTAAACAAAAGTAGATAAGAAAGCATTTTCCACAATATAAGACAGGCCAGAATTTTACCCCCGAATCGTTTGCGGAAAGATTTATGCTTTCATCTACGAGCTCGCGAGTTTTTTTTTAATGAGATTATATTCATCGTATTGAGCTTGTTCGCCCTGGTATTTATCTTATTAATGAACACCGGTTTCCCCAGCGCGCATTGCAAGATAATAGAACGAAAGAAGATTCCCTTTGTGAATTTTATGAAGGAGACTTTTCATTAAGCTCTCTTATTAAAACGTTCGCCATTTTCACTCGCTTGTACAATGAAAAGGAGCTTGATTTCACGGAAAGCGACGTGCCGTGCTGTTTTGCATAAAACCGTGCCTGGAACGAAATGGAAACAATAGATTCGTGCTGCTTGCGTTCTCGCTACACGTTCCTTCCCCGTTCGAATTTCATCGACTCATTTTTCAACCCAGCACGAGGTTGAAAGAGCCCCGCGTCTCTTGTTTCTCTCCTTTTTTTTTTAACATGTCTATGCAAAACGAGACAAGCCCTTTCTTTTAGATGAGCACGGAGGTCGTTATGAAAAATGAAACGGTTTAGCTTGTAAACCTCCGTTTGTTCACGCGCATAAATTTATGACATTGTTTCCGTCATGAAATTTACAATACGTCCTCTGCTACATATTTATTACCCGCGCGCTTATTTAGAGTTATTTATTCGACGCGTGGAAAATTCGTGGAAAAATTTGTCAGTAACAGCTGACGGATTAAATCCCAACTCTCATAAACGATGACCCCGAAGATTTTCATTATCCGAGCGCAGACATTATTATTAGAACAGCACCTATTTTATCTCTTCGTTTAACTCGGTTCGCGTGTATTCAGGTTCGATTAGTTGCGAGTCATTATTGATATCCAATGCGTTCGCCGGATCGATGCGTGTTATTTTTTAGTAGATTGCTTGATAAAAAAAAATTCATCAGAAAATATGATGTGCCGATTGAAAATCAAAACGCGTTGTTCCAGTCTATTTTTATCCGGTTTGTAATACTTTTCACTGAACTTCATACAATTGTAAAAATAGATTGAATTCTCGCGTTTGCGTACATTTTTTAGTTAAAAATGGTGAGTACATTTGTGAACGCAAAATAATGGACGATCGATCGCCTCTCTCGGTCCCTCAGACTCCAAATTACCCGTGAAACGATCGTCTTAACGTTTCGGTAATTTGCTTCGCACTTGGCCTCTAACTTTAACTTTGTTTTCGCTTCGCTTTAACAAGCAGGAGAACTTAGCTTGATTTAATAGATCATCCTAACAAGAATAATAATCTGTCTCCTTCTTATGAAGCACGTAATCCTTCTTAAGAATAACAAGCAGATTATGAGATTTAGTCGATGAGCCACGAATGAAAGGAACATTATTGTACATTTTGAAAATAAAGAATGTAGCCAGCTTAGGAACGGTTTTCAGCACGTAAAAATCTCTACAATTATCACGTCCATGGCTTCCGGTAGGATATGGAACGCCGTTCGTATGAGTAGCGACAGGATATTATTAGTAGATTTGCCCGGAAGATCCCGAACAGCTTGGCTAAAATCCAGGAAGCCTCAGCGCGTGGATATTCCATATTAAATCTCGACATTCTGCCGGTAAATCTTCCCTTGTTATCACAATTTTTTGACCCACTTGTACTTTTCTCGTTCGCGGATGAAATATTGTCGTCGAAAGAATGCGACGATACGTCTCATTACACGTACATCGTTCTCCTATTATTAGACCACGTGACCACCGTGGCTGCTCCCATAATATTCCATAAAAGATGAATAGCTCGGATCGCATGAAAGGAAAAACTAATACCCTCTATAGTATATTGCATCGCTCCATTCTTGCCCGATCCCTTTTATTTTTGCCACCGTGCAGAAAGGACTCCATTCTGTCTTCAATTACCAGCCACTGTGCACGTGTCACCGGCGCTAAGAGATATTACCGCAGGTAATAACGTTCCGAGACGCTGTGTTTTCCGGGTACTTTTAACGACGCGAATCGGGTATCCGTCGCTATAAACTCGTCACGGCACTGATCCTCGTTCAGCGCGCATTCTACTTGGCAAAGGACCGGAAACTGACAATTAAGACCAGCTTTCCTAACAAACTTTCCCTTTGAGATGTACTTGATATTGCAGTATATATATATACACCACTGCGTGCATGCATGCATATGTATATGCTTTGGACGTATGTATGTATACTGCGTCTGTTTAATGTAACGAGATACTATTGGGCGGTCTGGCTTGTCACCGACTACTACTACTGCTGCTTTGTATGCACACGTCGGGGCGTGGCGATTCGAGATTGAATTCTAGCAATTCTGCATTCGCCTATTTCCTGAATGTAAGTTTAATTTTATATTTATACCAGCATTCCACGTCGCGTTTTCGTTTATATTAATTATCACGTATAGAATTCGAAGTTTATAGAATAGAAGTATTTCATGAAGAGAAACTAAGTCACGGAACTTCAAAGATATTGAGGATTCGGTAAATATACATTTTACCATTTGTCGCCCTCTTAGTGGGCGATTGAGGTCAAGTGCTGAAATTTATTTTTATGTATTCGTATGGATAACCATTGTGAGTGAAAACTAAACCTCATCATAACTTGTTAAATTCGAAGAATACTGAGAATTATATAGAACCATGTTTCACCCCAGTAGGGCGTGAACTTTGAAAAGTCCACAAATTGGTTTCTGAGGAATTTGATTACGTAATACTCTGATGCAAAAATATATCGAGTTAAAGAAACATTGAAAAGTATGTTAAAACTTATTTTCACTCTTTTTTTTTATTCATAATAATGTTGTCTGCTTTACAAATGAATATACTTTATGACACTTCGGAGGATGCTCAAATTTCATTGTAAATACTTGAGTTGAGTTTTAGATTTTTGCTAACATACAAACAAACGCTTTATATATACAATAGTAAGATCTAACTCTTTTGCTCTGGCACTATGCATTAAAGAGTTTATTACTGATTTCATCTTGAGTTTTTAACGCGTTTGCTTTTGCTTGCATTAAAAGTGATGAAAATTTGATCAAGCCGTAAAAATAACGATTCCCGGGAATATAACCGCAGCGGTTTATGAAAAATGCGGTTGGGTTTTCCTCGGTTTTCTCACCTTTTCATCCTTTCGGTTCGTAAAAGGAAATGGAACGTAGCGAGATGGAGCGGACGATCGTAAGCAATAACACGAGTTACAGGGCACGATGACAGAAGGAGAAAAAGAGTAGCGAGCAGCTATTCGACCGGTTGCTGCGTAACACGGAGGGGGCCAGGACGGGGAAATTAATTAC